TTAAGCTTGCATTCTCCTTTAAAACTGCCCGCGAGGACTGAGGCTAAGACTGCAGCGGCAGTAACACCCAGCAGCAGAACCAACCGGGAATAATTCTGGTTATCACCTTTATCACCCCGCTGGCCACCAAGACAGTTCAAATGCGGTGGGGAACGCTGCTTTTAGCCAGCGCGCGGAAGTCAAAATTACAGCTTCACGGATTAGACTATGAAAGCCCATCCAAGTGAAAGATGGAGTAGGGGTGTTTCACGCAGGGTTGGCGGGGGAAGCCAGGGAAACAGGGCAGGGGGCTGAAAGCAGGAGCTGGCCAGGTGCGTTCTGAGCCCAGGGCGCCCTGTCCTCCCTCCCCGCGGCCAAGTGTAGGAACGGGACCGAAGTCATCTTAATATCACAAGAGAGTAAAAATCGATAAATCACGGTAGTGGTGCCTAGTTTATTTATGAGAGTGTAATCGAAGTTGAGAGCAATTTCAGAACACGCATTTAAACAAAAATCTATTTAGAAGTTAGTTGAAGCGTCTTGAGGACATTATTTTCTAGACCTACAAAAGGAGTAGGACCCGGAGCTAGGACTGGGAAAAAGAAATTTAAAACCAATGGATGAAACGTGGCAGATGCAGTTTATGCTTACTTTTCCTTTGCCTTTCCTACTCCATCACCACATTTCCTGAGAAGCCAAAATGCAAACAGCACAATTTTCCCACTCTCTCCAGCTTAATTTAAGATTAACAGAACCGGAGCCACTCTGTTTTCACCCACTGACTGGCGCCGGGGTTCACTTAGAGTGAAGTTGAGATCTTCAGAAACAGAAAACTTTTGAGAGGTTAACTACCGCTGAGTGGCAAGCCTTTGCGTTCTCTCCAGGAGGAAGTTTGTTTGCTTGTTTACTTGTTTCTCGTGGATTGACAGTTACAGTTGTCTTAGAATAGTCTTATTATTCCTTTGGGCAGTACAAAGATTCACTTACCAGACAGCAGGGTGTTTCTTGTTTTGCACAGTCCTACATAAAGTAGGAAACTCTGCAAAGCATGTATTCTCATGATTTGTTTTATCAACATAATATTGTCTTCTCTTTATTTGGTAAGGATTTTACTTAATACAAAACAAATGCTTAAGTTCTTATTACATACACTGGTCATAATTATATAATACAAATGTATTTGTCTGCAATATTTGTTTGGGGCAGATTTAAAAAAAAACAGCCTTTGTAAATATTTATTCGTTCATTCCTGGTTCTCCAACAATGAGATTTGGTCATACTTTTCTATAAAATAACATTTAAAAATGTATTTTATTAAAAACCTTGACGACATTTCAAGTTAATAACAACAGAAACAAATCAATCTTGATGAAAGAGATCTATTTGAAAAAATACCTCTAGTGCTTTTTTAAAACATTAATAACTGTTTAAAATCACAGATTTTAAAATGTATTCTTCTTTTTTGAACAGCTAGCGTTCTTGTTTCACAGATTTGCCGGTGAAATTAAAAAGATTTGGCTACAGTAGTATGACTTCAGAAGACAGAACCCCAGCTATTAAGAAATTTTATACATTTTGCATCTGCTCTAAACCCAGGTCGCCAACAGAGACTCTCTGGTACCTCTGGTACAGCAGGTATTACACTAAAGTTCCAAATGAACAGAGGCATTTGACACGGTGGCTGAACAGATCAGTGGATGGTTTTTATTTTTGTTAACCTCCAAAGAAAGTCATTGAGCTACATTTTCTTAGAAACATTTTTAGGCTAGAACAATACATAAAAGCCTTCAAATGCCTCTGCTCCTGAACCTCAACTTAAATATATTAGGGGGTATCTGGTTATTTATTACCTTCCACCACTCTGAAGTGAGGGCTGTGTTTGGAGGGTTTCTGCAGTTAAAAAAAAAACTTTGATAAACACAGGCAACTAATATAGAATTCATTTTATTCAGAGCACCGCTTTCACACGAGTTATCTGAAAGTGAATTCGGTTTCAGCAGAAAAATACATCATTCTTATCCTTTCCCCTCTTTTCACCCCCCTTTCAACATCCTCCCCATCCCCGTATTTTTGGTTGAATTGAGTCTCATTTGTTGACCGGCTCTACCAGGACTTGGCCCAGTATAAACACAAAAATGCACCCAAATCATAAAACTGCTCTTCTTTCAGTTATGGTTTATTTGTAAGTGTACTGGGACACATCCCCCTGTGGTATTCTGGTGCACAGAAGTGATTCTGATAGGAGTGGGGAGGAGGAAAGATAATAGAGCAAAGACATAACCAAGGAAAAAGCTCAGCAGACATACATGGGTAGGTAGATCAATCCGTGAGACATTTCAGGATTAACACGGGCAATTTGTAACCACTGTGTGAATGTGTGCATTAAAGAAAATATTTACAGTAATCTTCCTTTTCTTCCCTTTTCCTCTAAATACAAGAATATGACAAGAATGGTGTGTTTTCGGTGAAAACAGGCAGTAGACTGTGAAATCACACTATCCACAAAACGGTCTATCAGAAAGCTAGCCCAGTTTAGTGCTCAGTTTCAAATGCATAGAATGTTTGCGCTGCAAACAATGATATACAACGTAATTAAATAAATAATGCCTAACCAGAGTGAGACCTACTTGTGTTTCTTTCTGTACCTTTCAGATCATGCATGATTTCAGTCTTGTTAAATGGCAGGTTTTTTTTCTTTTTTCATGTGTTCTGTTTTCAATTTTTTAGTTCTTATTAAAGGATAGTAACACACCATCTCCACCCGAGATCAAAAGAGTGACTTGTGCACCAAGCAGGCATTTTACCTAACCACCTTCAATTTTTTTTGTCATTTAAAAAAATCCACCAGCAGTTCATAAAGTACCTTAATTATTACTATGAAATACTATACATGATTTTCTATATTTGGGAGATTGATAGTGCAAATTAAAGTTCTTGCTACCCAACATTTATCCCCAGCAATAAATTACTTTTGAATAATAATAATAATAGTAATAATAATAACAATAATGAAATAGTTGTTCTGCTTTGCCCCCCAACATGCAGGCCCTTTTGAAACAAATGGAGGGTTAAACCTGTCTTCCTCTCATATGGGATTTGGTTGATTCTCTCACAGACAAGTCCTGCTCCAAGTGAAAGCAGAAACTTCTCAACATTTCAATGATTTCATGTTCTCCAAGAGAGAAGGAAAGGGGACCTAGAAGAGCAAGATGAGTCCTGTTCTGTGGAGAAAATGCGACAGAGTATCTCTCCTACCGTCTACTACCCCGTTAGGCTATTTGAATCAATAGGAAAAAATAATCAGTATATAGTTTAAAATAAACCACACTCAAATAAATAAATAAATAAATAAATGAAAGGGCAAGCAAGTTCTGAGTGGGGAAAAAAGCTTATTTTGAAACGATCCATTTTCTAGGTCTTAGATATAAGAGCAAAAATGGAAAGAGCAAAACCTGGTTAAAATTGTTTTATTTTTCTAGAATAAAATAAATATCTCGGAGCCTCTAAATTCTGCCTTTTAGTCAGCTCAAAGACTGCCTCGTTCTCCCTACAGACCTCCACCCGACCGGGACCAGGCCACAGGATTAGAGGCTGGGTCACTGGGAAACTTGAACTTTAACTAAACAAGCAGCCACCCCCACTTCCTTCAGATGTGTTCTCACTCAATGGCTGGCAAAGGAGAGCAGCCATCGGAGTCTCATTGCAAAAGAGAAAATAAATCAAAGAGGACTTGGATGGGGTGTAAGTGAGTCTTAGAAGGAAAATTAAACACACGGACAAAACAACTAGCTTCGACACCCAGAATTTCACCTTCCGGTTCGTTTGGTTTTCGGTTTTTGACTCAGTTCGTGTGTAGGACTGGGGCTGTGGTAATAATGGTGGTGCTCTTTTTTTCTCTTCCTTAGGGGGAAACGAGGCTGCAGAATACGGCTCTCTGGAGTTAAATTTCAAAAGCATTTTTCTTTGCTTTTGTTCTGTTTTGTTTTAATTTGTCTTTATTTGTCTAGTTTTTGGTGGTTGGTAGGTTTGTTTTTTGTACATAGTTCCTTGGTCCCCAGGAGATTTTAATAAGTGTCTCTGGTCAAAAACAGTCCATTTCCCTACCCTTCCCAAGTGTTCCCCCCACCCCAACCCCCAGATCCATCCTGCTCCTCAAAACCCCTCCTCCAGTCTCCGCTTTCCTTCCCCCAACTCCCCACTCACCCAAATGCTCCCCCTTCTCCCCCCGCCCTTCTCTCCTGTGTCCATACCCGGCACCCCTGTCCTCTAGGGTGGGAGAGGGTAAGGGCAGGGACAGCAGAGAGGAGGCGGAGGAGAGCGCTCCAGGAGGGCCTCCCCAAATGCAAGCAGGATAACGGACACTCCAAATCCGAGGGGAAGCAGGCCCGAGGAAAGACCCCCAGAAACGCCCCTTCAGCTCCTCGCTCTGCCCGGCCCGGCACCTCCCATCCCCCTCAGTAAGTAGCGGAGAATTTCATCCGCTTCTGCTTCTGTCTCTGGTTGCAAAACCACACCCGCACCACGTTCTTTTTGAGGTCCAGTTTCTCGGCGATGGCGGCGATTTTCTCGGACGAGGGCCGGGGCTGTACCGCGAAGTAGGCCTCCAGGGAGCGCTTCTCGGGCGCGGCGATGGAAGTCCGCTTGCGCTTCTTCTCGCCGCCGTTGAAGAGCTCGGGCTTGTTCATTTTCTCGCGCTGCGCGCCCTCGGCCTCCTCCAGCCACGCCTGCAGGATGGGCTTGAGCGCGATCATGTTGTTGTGCGACAGCGTGAGCGATTCGAACCTGCAGATGGTGCTCTGGCTGAGCGAGCCCACGCCCGGGATCTTGAGGTTGGCCAGCGCAGAGCCCACGTCGGCCTGCGTCACGCCCAGCTTGATGCGCCGCTGCTTGAAGCGCTCCGCGAACGCCTCGAGCTCGCGCGGGTCCGTGTCCGAGTCGCAGATGGACGCCAGGCCCGCCGCGCCCACCACGGCCGCCGCCGCCGACGCCGCCGCCACCTGCCCGGC